GGTAGTAGAAAACCTCATCTTTATCCTAAGGAAGGGCTGCTGGTTTCAGACTGTCCACTTTGCAGTTGTATAACCACTTCGCCACCAGGGCTTCTAGAAACCCCATGGAATTTGTGCATTGAGTTTCCAAGGTTATAAATCTTTACAGAAGCAGGCTGCCTCATCTTTCTCCCACTGGTGGGTTTGAACTACTGACCTTATGTCTAGCAGCCAGACACTTAGCCCCTGTACCTGCAGGGCTCTTTTGCATGAAAAGTTGTCCCATTTTAGAAGGTTCTGGGCTGGGTGTAGTGACCATGTTGCAAGCTGATTGTCTCTAGAAATAGAAGCACACTGGGCTGAGTAAGTGAGGTTAACTCTCTAACTGGTAGGGCTATGACGATGTGCTGAGAGGCACCATGAAGCAGCCAGCTGGGACCGAGTGTGGCTCATCCAACCCAGCTGGGTCTAAGCTGCAATGGCTTCTTTCTCTAACGTTGGACCACCACTGTCTTTTCTGGTGAGGGGACTGGACTCAGGTGCCTACACCTGCAGGACAGCTCACCCACTCACATCTACTGAGACATACCTCTGTGCCCAGGGCTGGGTCAGGCAGGGGTGTGTGGCTGAAACAAGATCTCGGTGGTTGCAACCCCCAGGGGATGCCCCACCAGCCAGGTAGCCAAGCTTGAGTGCATGGCAGACAGTCTGCCGGTGGGCTGGGGCTGCAAACCAGAGCAGAGGTGGCATCTGGGGACCCGGAAGTAGTGGCTTGCTAGAATGAGAAGCGAATGAGAAGAAGAAGAAGAAGAAGAAGGAGAAGGAGAAGGAGAAGGAGAAGGAGAAGGAGAAGGAGAAGGAGAAGGAGAAGGAGAGGAGGAGGAGGAGGAGGAGGAGGAGGAGGAGGAGAGGAGGAGGAGGAGGAGGAGGAGGAGGAGGAGGAGGAGGAGGAGGAGGAGGAGAAGAAGAAGAAGAAGAAGAAGAAGAAGAAGAAGGAGAAGGAGAAGGAGAAGGAGAAGGAGAAGGAGAAGGAGAAGGAGAAGGAGAGGAGGAGGAGGAGGAGGAGGAGGAGGAGGAAGAAGAGGAAGAGTTGCACCTTTTGTAGAATTGCTGGGTTTTGTAAGCGCTGTTTAAAGGATTCCAAAACCATCATGTTGCATCAGAAGAGATGGGTTTACGGCTTCTCTAAAGTTCTAGAAGGCTCTTAGACCGGGGCTTTTCTTAGATCTGTTATTCATTCAGCACATGTTGAGGACCACCATGATTCAGTCAGAAGCCCTGGTAGGCAGTGGTAAGTGCCCGGTGGCTAACCAAAAGGTTGAGGGTTCTTACCCACTAACCTCTCCAGGGAGAAAGATTTGACCGTCTGCATTCCTGAAGACTGCCCACTGCCATCAAGTCAATTCCAACTCCCAGAGACTCCACACAACAGAGTAAACATCCCCCTAAGGTTGTAGCTCTTTATAAAAGCTGACTGCCTTGTTTTTCTTTCATCCATTCGCTGGTGGATTCGAACCACTGACCTTTCAGTTACCAGCCCAGTGCTTAACCCACTGCACACCAGGTCTCCTTTTCATAAAGATTTACACCTTGGAATTTCTATTAAAACAAACACAGGGTGCAGTATAGCACCGATGAAACATACAACTTTCCTCTAGTTCTTTAATGCATCCTTCCTCCCCACTATCAAGACCCCAATTCTTCCTTACAAATCTGGCTAAACCAGAGGATGTACACTGGTACAGAGAAGAGCTGGAAGCACAGGAAATCCAGGATAGATAAAACCCCTCAGGACCAATATTGAGAGTAGCGATACCAGGAGGGAAAGGGGAAGGTGGGGTGTAGAAAGGGGGAGCCAATCACAAGGATCTACATATAACCCACTCCCAGGGGGACAGACAACAGAAAAGAGGGTGAAGGGAAACATCAGTCAGTGTAAGACATGACAAAATAATAATTTATAAAATGATCAAGGGTTCATGAGGAAGAGAGGGTGGGGGAGGGAGGAAAAATATGAGGAGCTGATACCAAGGACTCAAGTAGAAAGAAAATGCTTTGAAAATGATGGCAACAAATGTACAAATGTGCTTGACACAATAGATGGATGGATGGGTTGTGATAAGAACTGTATGAGCCCCCAATAAAATGACTAAAAACAAACCCAACAAATCCACTGCCATCGAGTCCACTCGGACTCATCGTGAGCCTAGAGAGTGGGGAGAACTGGCCCTGTGGGTGTCTGAGACTAACTATGGGAGTAGAATCCTAGGGTCTCTATGAGTCAGAAACTTAATTTAAAAAATTATCATCTGTGTACTCTGTGACCACACAGAAAACCAAGGCCGAGTTCCTGATCAAGCCAGCGGGTGCCACAAGGTGGCCTGCAGTGGACCTTGCTGACAGTGGGCTGTAGGCTTATGGCAGAGCCTGGGGAGGAGGCGCAGGGACAGAAACCCCAGGGGGACGGAGTTCCAGCCAATTTGTGGGCCTTCTCCTTTCTATTTTCATTTGGATCATTCCCTCTAGAGAAGACGGCTGTATTTCTTTGGCAGCTAATAGCAATCTTGGAAGTAACCAAAAAATAAAAAAGGGAAAAAAATTTTTTTTTCTTTATAGTGAGACCAAACCCAGAAAACTCCCTGCCATCAAGGCAGTGCTGTCTCCTGGTGGTCCCACAGAACCCAGTAAAACTGCTTCTTTGGGTTTCCGGGTCTCTCAGTCTAGGGGGAGCAGACGGTCTCCTCTTTCTCCAGACACAGGTACAGACAGACTCAAGCACGGAAATATCTTCCCAAGCCCAAGCACACATAGTCATCTAACGTGCACGTGTTTAGTCACCAGATAGTCCACGAACAGCACGGCAGTGTCAACTTCCACCGCATCTGCACAGTGCTGTCGTGCAGCACGGCGCTGGGGAGACCCGACGGGGAGCAGCACCCAGTGCTCCCAGAGGGCTGTGCCTCCAGGAACAACCCCTAGGCCCCAACGGCCTACCGCCTTCTCTTCAATGTCGCAGCGCTATGGTGCCCAAGCCCTTGGTGCCCATGAACCCCAGGAGTTTGGCTGGTGACCTGTCTTCATACGAGAGAGTAGCAGAGGAAAGTTACGTCACTCGAAAGAGGAGCGTGGCAGCAGACGGGGGACAATGGGAGCTCTCTGCTCCACACAGCCTGGGGAAATGGAAGGAACACGTTCATCCACAAGCGGACAAAGTGTGTCATGAATGCATTGCCCGTCTTTGCTCAGAACCAGCCTGCAGCTCAAACAAATGAGCAGGGTGTTTTTAAGCGACATCAAACCCACTGCGGCAGAAACAATTCCCACTCGTGGCAACCCTAGAGGACAGAGTGGAATTGCTCCGTAGAGTTTCCATGACTACACGTTGTTGTTGGAGCAGACAGCTCATCTTTCTACTGAGGAGTGACTGGTGGGTTTGAACTACCAACCTTGCAGTTAGCAGTCCAGTACACTCCCAGAGCTCCTTAGGCTCTTGTTACTATTGATCCCCTGCCCCCACCCCAAATCCAAGCCCACTGCCATCAAGTCCATTCCGACTCACAGTGAGGCTATATAGGGTTTCCAAGGCTGTAAATCCTTATGGGAGCAGAAGAGCCTCATCTTTCTCTCGGGAAGTGGCTGGTGGATTTGAACCCTTGAGTTTGCAGCTAACAACCCAACACCTAACTCACAGTGCCAACTGCTGCTGTTAAGGAGGCATCAAATTACTCCTGGGACAATGGAAGGAACTACTGCTGGGGCCGCCCCATGCTCACCGTTGTTGCTATGTTCAAGGTTATTGTTGCAGCCATTGTGTCCATCCAGCTCTCGGAGAATCTTCCTGTTGCCCTGACCCTCTACCACAAGGAGCCCCGTTGATGAGTGGTTCTTGGGCTGCTCACCACTGGGTCTGCTGTAGGAAACCAGCAGCCCCTGTGCAGTAGAAAGACAAGGCTTTAGGAACCCACAGGGGCAGCTCTACCCTCTCCTACAGGGTCACTGTGAGTCAGGATCCACTAGAGTTTGTGCTCCGGGGACTGCTTTCTCTGGACGTGCCCAAAGTATGAGGGACAACGCCTCACCACCTATCTTCTGGAGAGCCTCGGACTGCCCTCCTTCCAAGTCAGATGGATGCTTCCTCGCATCCATCCGTGATGTAAACCCCGGGGGAAAGTGTAGGTGCTGCGGGCCATGGGGGTGGATCTGTGGGCTCTGTGACGGGTGGGGCGCACCTAAAGCTCTGGGGGCTGGATTGTGAGAGAAAGGTCCGTGGGGGAGGATGAAAGGCTGGAACCTCAGAACACACACGCACACAAACACACACACACAGACCCTGTGTGTTACCTGCTCTCTGCATTTCTCTTGACTGTAATCTGGTTGGAAGAGAACACACACACGTTGACCCTGCATGTTACACACACACACACACACACACACACACACGTTGAGCCTGCGTGTTACCTGCTCTCTGCAGTTTTCTTGACTGCGATCTGGTTGGAAGAGATTGCCAAGCCTGTCTTTGGTGGCTCCGCTGGGTGGGTTCAAAGTGATGGCAAACTGCTTGCGTTCCCCAGAGACCCAGCCCTGCCCTGCCCTCCCGGAAGCAGCCATCGGAGGTGCCCTGCCCTGCGCCCCACAGGCTCGGGCGGCGAGTCACCGCGCCCTCTGCGTGGAGCAGAGGCGGAGGCGGAGGGGGAGAGGAGGGGCGGCGGGGGGTGCTGGCTCCCCAGCTGTGCGGCGGAAGGCTCTGGAGGGGCGGGCTCCATCCCGCTGGGAAGGGGGACTGACCGGTGGGGGGCTGGGAGCGGGGGCAGCGTGCGCCCGCCTGTCATCGCTGGCGGGAGATGGATGCCTTTCGGGGACGCGGGGGGAGACGTCAGCGCTCCGGGTCCGCCGTGCCTAGCCCCCCGCCCCGCCCGGGCTGCATATAAAGTCGCGCGGCGAGACAGCGGCGGCCGCGGCGGTTCTCCGAGGTCCCCTGCACCCGCGCTTTGGCCACCTCGCCGCGTGCCCGCCCACCAGACATGTGCGGCCGGGAGCTCTCGCTCATCTTGCTGGCGCTGGTCCTGTGCCGCGCGCCCTGGGGACAGGCGGCCCCCGCGCCGGCCGACGGAGGCCCCATGCTGGCCAAGATGTACCCCCGCGGCAACCACTGGGCGGTGGGTGAGTGTCCCCGTGCCCTCTGCTCAGGGACGAGCCCTGGACTCGGCTCCTTCTATGCAAACCTGGAGCCAGTGCGCCCCAAACCAGCCGCGGGGTGACACCCGCTGCGCTGACCCTGAGCCCTCGCCGGGCGCTCTCCAAGGCGCCCGAGCCGCTGCCCAGTCCACAGCCAGGGTGGAGCCCTTGGCCCTCTGAACCCGCCTGACCCTCCTTGCTTAGCCCACCTAAAACCGTACGCCAGGTTCCTCCTTGCACAACTTTGGGGCGCTGGGCGCTCGAGCGCGGCGCCTCCTCAGGGACCTGAGTCCAGGCTGCGCTCCGGCGCCCGTGCAGCCGCAGGTGCTGAGACCCGGCGCAGGGAGCTCAACCCGCTTTCAAATCGGCACCCCGAATTGACTGATGGCTTTCGTCTCTTCTCTTCTTTGGGCAGCAACATTTCTGTCCCCTGCGCCTCACCCAGTCTGCCAGATCCAAGGAGCGGCTCTGCGCTCGGAGCCCAGCCCCCTCTTCCTCGCTAGAGCCATGAGCTCTTCGGTGCTCTACACCCTTTTTGTCCATCTGCCCACGGCCCCCACTCTCCTGGGCGTGTGGGTTTGCTGGTCCCTGGTCCCTGGTGTCTGTCCCCCAAGTTGGGGTGGTGGGGCCCCGCGTTGGGGGAAGAGAGCTTGAGTCCTTAGCCTTGGGCAGCTGGGAGGCAGGGAGAAGTGGGCAGCCTCCTCCCCCTGACACCATCCGTGGCACTCAGCCTTGCTCAACATCACTTGACCCTTACCCCCAACACAAAGGATTGTGATCCCACTGACTCTTACGGTGCTGTTGATGTCTATGTGTGGAGAGAGGGAGTAAGGGAGTGTGTGTGTGTGTGTGTGTGTGTGTGTGTGTGTGTGTGTGTGTGGTGTTGCATGGCTAAGCTCCACATCAACCCTTCATAGATTTCCACACCTAGGAGGAATTTCAGGGCAGTAACGGAGCTGGAACAGTCTGGCCCTCCACTCCCTGTGCCCGAGAACTGGAGGCCTCTGGGGTACAGAATGGAGTAGTTCTCATCCTTGCTCACAGAAGCACTTGCTGTCTCTAGCAGACCCTGGAGTGGAGCATGTTCGATTTACGAGGGACAGGATGACCACAGCGGTGTGTCCAGCAGGGGTGGGGAGAGGTGACACCCAGAACCCCTGCATTTGTTTTCAGGATTCGGGGAAGCCAAACGGAGAACTGGTGCTTTTCTTTAAATGGGCTTTTGGGGGCTTATGGAAAGTGGCTGTTTCCTGGCATGGGCACTAGCCAATGGGCTGGGAAAGTAGAAGGAAGCTTCTAGATTCCCAGCCTCTTTTTGCTCTTTTACCTTCTTTGTGCTGAAAGGATAATTATTAAATAACCACTGTTGCCGGCGGGAGGGAGGGGTAGGAGTTAGCTGGGGAACCCAACCCAACCCCCAACGCACTGCCATGCAGTGGGATTATGAGGAACCGCTCCGCTCTGCTTCCAAGCCTGTGCCAAGTGATTCCTGGTGCAACACCCACCCCACACCCACACCCCGTTTGCCTGCACTTTGGAGCTGGTCTGGCATTGGTACTTGGACACAGTGGTACCTGAAGTAGAAGGAACGGAGAGGCAACCTCTCAGGACTCTCTTCTGATTTGCTCTCAAACATCTTCGTTTTTCTTTCTCTCCCGTAGGGGACTGTGTCGAGTGGAGGAAGAGCAAGGACAAGAGGGCGGTGGGGTAGAAAGTCCCCCGGGGACCTGACAACACATGGTAGGGGAGATGCAATTTGCTTGACGGGAAATTGTCTTCTGCTGAAATGTGAGCTTTGACCAGAATGAGTGGCATGTCAGGGCCAGCTTTGTCATGTCCCTGTCAACTATTTCTGGCCAGGGTCCCTTGCTCCTGAATCAGGGAAGGCAGGCAATTGAGATGTTCATTGTGCCCAACTTCATCCACACGTTGGTGGCCTGGAGGAAGCTGTTGGTCTGCATTGGCAGGCAGGTCTGGAAGCTACTCTCTTCTTCCAGCTGAGGAACAAAGTATAGCAATGGACACGTGAGAAATGGTGTGGCATCTTCAGCTGGCATGCTGTCCCTGGAAGTGTTGTGTTTGTGAGGTGGACATACCATCATATGTCCAGGCTTCACCCGATGACCATCTCCCTGATGGCCATGAAATGGTCCAAGCTGTGGCTTTCCCTTTGATAGTAGGTCCGTGTCCAGAGGATGAATCCCAGAGCCCTAAGTCTTACCCAGCCATGCTACCCAAAGCAATGGTCAAATACCATCTGTGTGGCTTCCATAGAACTAGTTCTCAGAAGTTTTACTGAACACTTCCATCTGGGTCTTGTGGTAGATTGATCCTCAACTAGGATAATAGTTAAGATTAGAGCTTTAGAAAATTCATTTGCTTTAGACCTGCCCTTTAGTGGTATCTTTAAGTGATTAAAAAGGACAATAGGTTTTTGCTTTGTTTTCCCTCTCTGGACAACCTTTTGTTTTTTCTAAGTGGCTATCTTGTTACCTATTGTGTCTGTTTGATGTCCCTTTGTCTTTTGTGTCTATGTGATGTTTTGTCCACGATTACAATATGGACAGATGACAGAAGAGGACGGGGACAGGTAGAAGTGGGCATCCCATCCATGTTGCCATAGAGATGGTTGACCGTGGGCAGCTCAAAAGCAAAAGGGGTCCTAGAGAGTGTGGGCTTCATAAGATGTGATTGATACCCAGTCTGTGGGCCCAGGAGACAGAGCACGACTTATCCACAGCCGTGCACACGGTGTACAGGCCACAGGGACCAAAGTCAAGTCAACACGGAAGGGAGGTTTTCTTTGTTCTTCCATTTCAGGAAATTCTATAAAATGACCCAGGCCTGGCAAGAATGAAGTTCCTGTTTGTCCAAAGATTTCCCACAGCCTCCTCTGCATCCCTGTTCTTATTTGTCGCATCCTCACTAGATGACACTCCATTAGGGAGAGAAAGCGTGGCTTTGGTCATTCCTGGGCACACCAGGGTTCTAAGCCTGATCTCCCATCAGCGTGACTCAATTTCCTCCATCAAAAGAAAGCCAAATGAGTTGTTACTGGCTGGGCAGTGGTCCAGCACAATCCGCATGGTGGCTGAATATAAGGTTATTGAGTGGACATTAAAATGACAAGCTGACCAAGCCAATGAGTGAGGAGCCCTGGTGGCCGAATGGGCTGCTAATCACAAGGGGAGCGGTTGGATTCTACCAGCCACTGCACAGGAGAAAGAGGCAGCTTTCCATGCCCACAAAGACATGGAGCCTCGGAAACGCACAGGGGCAGTTCTACTCCATCCATTAGTGTCACTGTGAGTCGGAATCACTGTGATGTTAGCGAGCTTTAGTGAATGATCATTCCAGGATTCTAGTCCTTCCGTGGAGACCCTGTTCTCAACTGGGTCTCCAACTTGGGTTGACCAGTCATGTCATAACCAGCTGGTGCTCCCATGCCGTGCAGGATTCCAAGGCCCCCAATATTCACAGAAGTCAGTGTTCTGAGTCACATCATGAGTCAGGATGTGTTGATCAGGGATCCCGATTCCTTCTGATAACATTAGAAATCCTTTTGTAGGCCATGTCCTTAATTCCAGACTCCAGAATGATTTTAAATGGCATTCTGTACCTAGGAGGTTAAAAGGCACCTAAGAGTGATGTAATTCAGTAGACTGTGGGCTCTGAGTAAGGACCGCTGGCGGCAGGGTGAGTTACCAAATGGGCTGCTAATCACAAGAGCAGAGATTTGAACTCACCCGCCAGCCCCCCCTCAAGAGCAAGATGAGGCTTTCTGTTCCTGTGAAGATCTACAGCCTCGTAAACTACCCATATGCGACAGTCTCTAAAGTGTACGCTGAATACACAACCAAGCATGCTGGGTTTCATTTTATGGTGACGGGTAAACCCCATGGATTAAGGGTAGACAATTCTTGGGATTGCTGTCAATATAGCATGACCCCGTTTAAAAGAAAAAGCTTGTTTGGCAAAAGGTGCACGATAGATTGTCTCAAAAATCCTGACTTAAAGGGGGAACGTGCAGAACACAATTTCAAATTCTCATGGACGCTAGATTTTGTGGTGCCAAGGAGGGTGCACGAACCCCAGAAATGATCACTCCGAGATCATCTTCAAACCTGAAGTCACAGATACCCCCCGAAACCCTCTTCAAACCCAATAGCAGTATAGTTTCCCGAGTGCAGAGCACCAGGCTCTTCTAAGCCACCTGCACGGGAGCCAATGAACGCGCATGCACTCACTGCCAGCGAGTCGATCCTGACTCGCAGCGACTCCATAGGACAGGGTGGAACTGCCCTCCGTGGGTGTCTACCCTTCCTGGCAGTATAAGACCCCGTCTTTCTCTCTAGTAAGCAATAGCAACTTGAAGGATAAGATAGGAACTTTGGGTTCCGGGGGAGGCACTGAGTTTATGTCCTTGGAGGGGAACAGTTCCGAAGAGGAGGGTGTGACTTGTTGCTCAACCTGAGGAAAGTCACTGGTGCCACAGAATGATACAAGTAGGAACTCTTGAGCTGCTGTGTGTTTTGCCGTAAATATTCTCAACCACTATCACCGTAAAAATATAAAGAAAACACTTTTTTAAAAAGATGCACGCAGGCAATAAAGCCACAGGAGAATTTCTCTGTAACGTCACAGATAGAACTTTCGGGAAGGGGCCTTTCACTCAGCATCCAGGCACCAGAGGTTTTTCCAGTATTATTCCGCATAGTGTTTGCCTTGAATCTCTTCAATGCCGGACACCATGGATCTAGTCAGAGCCCTGCCTGGGGAGCTTTGGATCAAAGGCAGCAACGATTTCGAAATGGGAGAAACTGGTCAGTGGTAGAAGCCCAGTTCTAGAGTGGTGTGAGAGACCCATGACAGAGAGGAAGGCTGGTGAGCGGGTCAGTTGAAGCAAAGGACAACAGTGTGAAGGACTCAGGTTTGGGACGCCAGCCTCGTTGGGGCTCTCTGCCATGGAGAAGGCTCTTGGGTTTGTCCATTCAAGCTCATAGCAGCCTAGTAGGACAGGCTAGAACAGCTCCTGTGCCTTCCCGAGGCTAGCTCATCACGGGAGTAGAAAGCCTGACTTTCTCCCAAGGAGTGGGTGGCAGACTAGCAGCCCACAAGTCACCACTGTGCCACCAGGGCCCTTGGTCTTCGTAGCAGCAGTTTTTAGTTACTTCAATTACTTCTTCCCCGCCCGGAGACTGTTAATATAGAGCTCCCGAACTCTCCACTTCCGGCACCCCGAGGGCGGTTTGTCAGGACTGACAGCTGGCTTGCTTTTGGTGTGTGTGTGTGTGTGTGTGTGTGTGTGTGTGTGTGTGTGTGTGTGTGTGTTTTCATTACAAAGCACCTTTTCTAAGGGGACTTTCCTCGATCCAATCTCAGCTTTAAAAACCTGAGATGGTTGAAATGGAAAATGCCTTTGGTACCCAAGCAGACACCACTTCGGCTTTCTTCCTCTTCCTTTGATCCACACAAAGGATGCCGCGGGGACTTCTGTTTCCAGCAGCAATTCAAAAATCGGCAAGGGACGCTGTTTCCGCGGAGAATAGAAATCCGTGCACACAGGATTGATGATAGAATTGTTGGCCCCTGCGCATTTTCCGGTGGAGAGCATGGAATGGCTTGGTGCGGGTGACCCAGCTTGTTAGTGGGCGTGCTGGGGCCAAGCACAGGGCTCCCACGCACCTAGCTCCTTACGTGCTTTTGAAACCGGGAGAAAAGGCAGTCATCGATGGACGAACACCTAACACAAAAAATGTTCTTTGGTCTGCGTTTAGGAGGAAGGAGCACAAAAACCATCGGTGTGTCTTGTTGGAATGTTGCGCTCCCTCGTTCCCTTTAGTGAAATTGGTGACCCTGGGCTTTGCTTGTGTCTTCCACAGGGCACTTAATGGGCAAAAAGAGCACCGGAGAGTCTCCGTATGTGGACGAGGGCGGGAAGCAGGAGCAGTCACTGCCGGAGCAGGTGAAGTGGGAAGAGGCTGCCAGAAACTTGCTGGGCCTCATGGAAGCCCAGGAGAATAGGAGTGACCAACCACCTCCTCTCCAGCTCCTGGGCCACCGCCAGCCGACCTGGAAGCCCGAGGGTAGCAGCAAGTTCAGAGACAGAGGTTCTGAACGTGAAGGTAAATTGCTCATGCGCATTTCTTGGGTAGCCGTGGAAGATGGAGCCTTTGGAGTAGAGATGACTAAAGGTGTTTCTGATACGAGCCTTCGGGGCCACCACATTCACCAGGTGACCACCAATACAAGTAGACGCTCCCTAAGCGGCCTTCCCTTTTCAGCCTATCGATTCCTTTCCTCTTAGCACCCAGAGGGAGCACCAGTTCCGAACTCCAATTTAGGAAGTACACTCCCTGCCGTCGAGTTGATTCCTGACAGGACAGTAGAGAACTGCCCCTGGGCTTCAGAGACGTTCACTCTTTACAGGAGCAGAAAGGCTTAGCTTGTCTTTCTCCCTGGTGGTTTCTAAGTTTGGACCAGTCACTAGGCCACCAGGATGCCTTCATTTAAAAGTCAACCATTTTTATGGGCACCCTTCAGTGACATTGATTACATGCTGCAGCCACTCTCTCTCGCCTTTCCCGAATTGTCCTTCCTCATAAACATGAACTTACTGCCCCCTAAGCCTCTTAGCTACCCTTTCCCAGGCACCGTTGTCCATTTGAACCCATTACGGATAGTTCTTTAAGAGGGCACAGGGCTCCAGGCTGACCTTCGTCACTAACTGAGCTGCACTGTCATTTGGTTTGAAGATGACTTCAGAGGGTGTTTTTGGTTTAAGGTCTGAACATTTTCCCCCTGGCAATTGTTTTGGAGGTTGATTCAGCCTCTGGGGCCCCGAAATGTCTGGGTTCTGTGAGTTTTGGCGTTCTGTTCTACATTTCCCACCTCTGATCAGGATTTTTCTGTGGAATCTCTGATCAACACGTTCAGTAAATGGTGCCAGGCAGTATCCAATCTATCTTTGGGTCTCATGGCAAAGGAAACAGGTATTCACTGAGGCAATTGGCCACACTTTCCACTTTATCTTCCTATTCCTGACTCTCCTCTTAGTAGATTCCCCACCCTTCACTGCCAGGCCCTACCAGAATACTGTGTAAGCCTAGCAGATAGGCTTATGTTTGATGAACAAGGTAGGAGGAGCCTAGTCACAGCTGATTTCATATGAGAGCTTGCTTGTTTGCTCCCCTTTATGCAAATGAGTATTTCCTTGCATTGGCCCCAAGTTTATCTAGTGCAAGCTTTATGCTAATCTTTCAACATTTTGGTGAACGTATCTAAGGTCAACTGATGGGTCCTACATAGGATCTTACAGAATACAGGGAATAATGATAACAAACTGGCATTTAAATTCCATGGACAGGAATCAGGATAATGCCCATCTCTACCTCAACATTGAGTCAATTCCAACTCACAGCGATCGTGTCAGAGAGTCAAACTGCTTCCTTGAGTTTCAGAAGCTGTGATGGACAGAGATTGACGCATCTTTCTCCCTGCGAGCAGTTGGTGGGTTCGAACTGCCAACCTTCCCGTTAGTAGCCTGATGCTTAATGAGCAGGATAAAGGAGAGAATACTTTTTTTTTTAGCAAGAAAGCAAAGCAACTGAAAAAGGAAGTGATTACCATGAACGTTTGTGACATTTCTGTGAAATCTGCGATAACAAACTAGTCATTGTGATAATAGTAGTACAGTAATAGACAGTGTGATTGAACGCTCAGTTCAGTGTCGTGGGCTAAGCGTTTCCTTTGGCTTCTGCTCCCAGCAGTCTTGGGTGAGATCTATGATCCTGTCCATTTTAAAGGTGCTCACTCAGGCTTATCGCGTAGTTCTTAATGATGGGAGCAGTGTGAGAGCCTGGGGCACTCTGCCGTGACTCCCCAAAGACTGCTCTGGGGAAGGATCCCCGCTCATCTGGAACAGGAAGGAGGCAGGAGGTAGGAGCTGACCCTGCTTCTTCAGGTTTCAGACAATCAGTAGCATTGCTTCCACTCTGGGTACCTGGAAATCTCCCAGAGCCCCTCACTTGTTGACCGCTGGCCCCTTTCCTGGCTTTGCCAAGCATCTTCCCTGTGCTCCACGACCTCAGGTAGTGGGAGTGGTTGACACACTTTGCTGCTCTCTCAAAGGTCGGGGTTCAAGTACCCCCAGAAAGGTCTGGAAATCTTCTCCAAAACCATCCCCTGAAAGCCTCATGGAGCACAGGTCTCCTCGGACCCCCATGGGTCGCCGGGACTTGAAATGGAGGCCGCAGCAGCAGGTCTTCCCTTAAATCTACAGTAGGCACACAGGATGCGCTGAGCAGCTCAGAGCTGGATTAAACAACAGCTTTTCCGCAAAGAGAAAAATGGGAATCCAATCAGCTCGGAGAATTCACATCCCCTTTTTCCTGAATGAGGAGCCCTAGTGGCTAAGTGGCTTACTCGCTGGTCTGCTGACTGCAGGGTAAGCAGTTCGAAACCACCCGCTGCTCTGTGGGAGAAAGACGTGGTTTCCTCTCCCATAAAGATCTGCAGCCTGGGACACCCAGCGGGGCAGTTCTACGCTGTCCTAGAGGGTCGCTGTGGGTGGAAACTGATCCCGGCAGTGAGTTTGATTTGGGGTACAGTTCCTCGGTCTCGAACCAAAAAGGCAGCCATCAGCTTGAGCCGCTAGCTCCTTCAGCCTGGCTCTGCCGATCCATGGACGGTTTGGGGAAATTCAAGGATCAGGATGGCCTCTGTGTGCTGAGAAGAAGGTGCAGTAACCATTAAGGATCATCAAAAGAGGCCTGGCAGTGAGGTGGGGCTCAGTGGGCAGCCCCTTTCCATCTTGGAAAGGATGGCTTCTGAGAGGAGAGTAATTCTTTGTATCCAGAGCACGATGGGAGAAAAAAGATCACCTTTTTATAACCAGGCTTTACTTTTCTACTGAATGCTGTTAGACTTTTTCCTAGTATGGCATTCCCCTACAATTTTGTTCCACCTCAAATTAAGTCAATGGCCTGTATTGGCTAGTCTGCTCAAACCCCCCAAACACACTCACTGCCACCTCACCATGACCCGGCAGGACAGAGTAGAATGGTCCCCTGTGAATTCCTGAGACTGTAACTCATGGCAGGAGTACAAAGCTCAGGTTTTCTCCCATGAAACCACTGGTGCCTTCAAACTGCTAACCTTGCAGTCAGCAGCCCAATGTTGAACCACTACACCACCAGGGCTCCTGGGAGAAAGATGGGGCTATCTACTCCTGTAAAGAGTTACAGTCTCAGAAACTCACAGGGGAAGTCGTTCTACCCTGTCCTAGAGGGTTGCCATGAATCGGCTCGATGGCAGTGAGTTTAATCCAGGATCAGACTGACAACAGCGAGCAGAAAGATTCGGTGGCCACCTAGGGGACCGGGAGCTTCTGCTCCTGGAGAAGGCACAGCTCAGGAAAGGAGGCTCAGAGTGGTGGCCCAGCCTGAACAACGTCACTGGAGTCACCGCATGGAACAGGCCAGTTGTTCCATCGGTGTTTATTCTGCTGTGCATCGTCTGCATCACAACAGCAAACAACAGTTTGCAAAGAAAAGAAACCCCCGAAAATAAAGACAGACAGACAGAGAGAAATGCCAAGAGACTAGTTCTGTTAGGAACTCATCCATCTTTGAGTGTGAAGACAAAGTTAATAACTTAGCCTACCAATTCCAGAATTAGCAGCAGGGATTTTCAGAGGCTTGAGGATGTTTCTTAAAATTAAAAACTATCCACATATGCTCTCCGCTCCCATTTTCGTAATCAAGCCGAGAGCCCTGCTGCCAGCGCTCCCAGAGATGTAGTTAGTAACATGGAGCTTTTCCCCGCGTTTCAGCGACAGAGATGGTTCCTTAATTCAGAAAAGATGGGTGCAAAGTGCCTGAATCGCTACCGCTGCATCACGGCAAACAAGCGGTAGCACGTGGTGACCCGTTGTGGCTAATAATCGGCACAGCTAACCTTCATCTTTCTTTTAACTGCGTCTCCCTCACGCATCCTTTGACTCTATTCTGCAGCTAATGGAACCTTGATGCCATTGCTTCTGCCACATGAAACGGAGTTGTGGCCGCCGCCGGAGTCCAACCCATAATCCTCAGGGCTGAGGATCGCTCTGTGATCATTTTGGTTTAAGACTTAAGATCTGCACTCCGAGAAGGGTTTAATTTGATCTTTGGTTCCCTTTGTCATTTGGACTGAGGCCTCTGGGAGATGGGATTATGCGTTGATCATTGTGATTGGTTCCCCCCCCTCCCCCCTCCTCCCTCCACATTCCCTCTACTGGTATCGCTACTCCCATTTCTGTTTCTGAGGGATTTATCTGGCCCAGATTCCGTGTATCATGAGCCCTTATCTGTACCTGTCTACCCAGAACTGAAAGGCAAGACTGGGGTCATAATAGTGGGGGTGAGGAAGCCTCAATGAACCAGCTGAATATCATGTGTTTCATCGGTGCAATACTGCACCCTGGTTGACTCATCCCTTCCTTGTGACCCTTCTCTGGGGGGATATCCTTGTCTACAGATGGGCTTGGGGTCTCTGCTCTGACCCTCCTCATTCTCAACGATAGGGCATTTTTTGTTTGTTTCCCATGACACCTCATGGTCGCACAGGCTGATGTGCTTCTTTCATGTGGACTTTGTTGCTTCTCTGCTACATGGCCACTTATTTTACTTTAAGCCTTTAAGACCCCAGACCCTCTATCTTTTGATAGCCGGGCACCATCAGCTTTCTTCACCACATTTGCTTATACACCCGCTTTGTCTTCGGTGATTATGCCCAAAGGTGGAGCAGCAGCTCAGAATGCCAGGTTGTTAAAACAGTGTTCTAAATACTCATTTATAAACTATCAAGGGCTCATGCGGGAGGGGGGAGCGGGGAGGGAGGGGGAAAATGAGGACCTAATGTCGGGGGTTTAAGTGGAGAGAAAA